GAAGTGTATGGAAACCAATAAGTTTTGAGGCTCTATGGGCTCCACATCGCTTGCAACTTTGACCAGTTGTTGAGTGGGGGGTCCTTATAAAGGTTCTATGGGGATCGAGGAGAAAAACAGTCGCAAAGGGGTCTTATTTGTGGCACGTGATCAAGAGTGAGCGGCTCCTTGGAATGGTTTTCTTCAACATCGGAGCGGTGTTCAGCTACAACGATCGGATGGCCTAGTGGATAGCGTGGAGGATTCTCAATCTGGCAGTGAGGGTGGGTGTTGATGGTTCGACTCCCCTCGGCGTGTGAACTTTTGCAATTTTTTAGTTTTGCTATTTTCGTTTCCATGAATGTCTGTGCATGAGGATAACATGGATATTTGCCATTTATGGGCAAATCTTAACGGTAGTACCCCGTGAGTCGGTGTTATTCTACTAATACAATTTTCTCATACCGTTAAGCAAGGCTGCCACTGAAAATTGATTTTTGTGTGTGAGTGATATGATCATCAATATGGTCCTTAATTTTAGCTCTGGTGCCATTTGTCTCCGATTCGGAACCACATCATTCTCCGACTGAATTCATTATGTACACCCATATTAAGGGACGTTTAGCGCTACTCTGCCGTCAAATTGCGTCAGCGCCAAAAATAATTGCCACCATCGTGATCAGGACCATCAATTACCCCTATAGACGAAGTTTCGCTCGAAAAATTTTTTTCGACCTTTTGGGCTTGTGTATTGGATCGTGCACACGAGCCTTTCTATTGAAGTCATACTTTGCCTGTTATTCAAACCTTCCCATTTATTGATAAATAAACATGAAAAACAACAAGAATAACACCGTTGAAAAAAAGAAAATTTTAGTAATCTCTACGGGTGCATTTGAAAGTGGAGAATGTTGAATGAAACTGTTCTGTCGGTGGGGGAGAATGATACCTTCGTCGATGAGTAGTGCTAGGGGCCGACAAAGGTCCACGATGTTGTTCACGTATTCCACCGGCATTCAAGCTTATAGCTGCATGGAAGGATCTTCGGTGCAGCAAATTTGCGATACGGCTGCGCTGCGGCCCGCTACGTCATCGTTACGTCATCGCCGCTACGAAGGAGTGGGACTCCGGTCATCATCGTCGACCGAATGGTCCGCCACAACCAAAAAATTTTTCGAGCGAAACTTCGTCTATAGGGGTAATTGATGGTCCTGATCACGATGGTGGCAATTATTTTTGGCGCTGACGCAATTTGACGGCAGAGTAGCGCTAAACGTCCCTTAATATGGGTGTACATAATGAATTCAGTGGGAGAATGATGTGGATCCAAATCGGAGACAAATGGCA